GCACTAGTAGCATAGGGATGGGGTTTGGAGTGGTACAAGGCAGTGGAATGAGGTATTTTAAATTTTATTTCAATGTTTTCTGACAGGTATATAATGTATGTTGAACATATATTCTACTCACCAAAAGGCTGTTTTATTATTGACATCATTTAAAATGGCCTTCATGGTGATTAATAAAAAGCAAACTAGTTCCAGGACAGGCTCCCTGTCACCAAAACCAAAAAAAAAAAAAAGCAAACTGACATCAGTTCATTTTATTAGTATTTTCACATTTTCTACAGACAGTGCATTCTCTAGTACTGTTCCCATGGATATTTGTTAAAGATTAAATGTCAGCTTGTTACCAGGCAACATTTCTTCTGTTGCTCTTTGTTTTTGATATAGGGTCTCATGCAGCCCAGGGTAGTCTCACTCCTCCCAGGAAAAGTGATTTCTGGTACCATGCATGTAGACTGGAAAGTACCATACATACCTAGTGGGAAGTCTTAACTTCAGGTTCCTCTGTATGGTGACATATGTACTAGATTATTTACTTTATAGGTATATACTGATTCCTACACAGAACATGAAGTTTCTAGGCAAGGGTGGCTTCTGTATTTCTCAGTATGAGTCTTATTTTCTTATACTTGAGCTGTCACTTGCAGAATAAACAGGGTCGCTATATAAGGTTACTGGGATTGCTAAGAGCTATTCTCCCAATTAAGAAAGCTATCAATGTCTGATGGTACCCTGTTTGATACTGTTTCTTGATCAATATATTTCTAAGAAAACTGGTTCATGCTTTTTTTTTCTACAATTTATTATTAAATTTAAGAGAGATTCTTGCTGGCTGTCCTGAAACTCACTTCATAAAGCTGGCCAGCCTCAAGGTTGTGCCAGTTCTCCTGCCTCTGCCTCCACACATGGTCTGGATGTCCATGGGATTCATACATGCAAGAAAAATGTCTATCAGTTAGCAATACCTCTCAGCTGTGGAATCTGTGTATAGCACACACACACACACACACACACACACACACACACACAGATCTGACACAGTTAATAATTCTACTTCTTTAATTTTGTCATAATTCCCTCATCCTTAATAAGGTTATAGCTTAATAAAATACTGGGCAGGTTTTAAATAGCTATGCAGATATTTTGTGTGACATTCTTAAATTTATTTTTTACTTTATATGTGTGGGTATATGTACATCTGTGAGCCATGTGCATGCAATGCACTACTCATGGAGGCAGGAGGAGGGCATTGGATCTCCTGGAACTTGGATTATAAACAGATGTCAGCTACTGTGTAGCTCTTGGGAAATAAATCTGGGTCTAATGATGGCAATCTCTCCAGTCCCTTGTATGACATTCTTTAGGAAACCTAAAGCAACTGCCTTGCTTGTCTCTGTTTGAAAGTATCCATATGGTATCACATTAGATTCAAGAAGTATATACAGGGAAATGCAAATTTTAATGGTTATGAGATTCAATTTCACCCAAGTCTGAATGGAACCATCAAGAAAACAAATGTCAACAACTTCTGGAAGGGATTAGGGAAAGAACAAACTCTATTCATTGTTTCTTGGATGGTAACTGGTGAAGCCATCAGGGAAATCAGTTTCAAAAAATCTGAAAATAGAACTGTGTGAACCAGCTCTACCACTTTACCAGAAGGACTAAGTCAGCACACCATAGACATATAGATGGCCTATATGTCTATCAATGGATAAAGAAAATGTGGTACATGGACAAAACATGCACACTTCATCTTAAATTTTTTAAATGTGGATGCCTGTGAGCAATCTGCCATGATGCTCGATTCTGGCATGATGGAACTTGACCGACTTTTGCTCAAGTCAAATGGAAAGATCCGTGCACTAGACTATGGAAAGGGACTGATCCTGTCCTATATGGGGTCAAGGGCATGTTTGTGTTTTCTTGAAGGAAGAAAATGATGACTGGTGGCTGCCAGACCAGTTGGTGAGATGCGTGGAGCAGAGGAAAACTGGACCTGAGACTTCGGGAACCTGCCCAAGCCAATTTGAGTGAGACCTGCTGAACCTGTGTTCCTATACCCCTGATATCATCAACTCTACAGTCCGAGAAGGAAAGAAAACAATTGGTTTGAGATTTTCAGAAGGAAAGGAGATTAGAAATTTTTAATTTGGTTCCAGATTTCCAATTTCTCAACAAGCCTGCTGCATTGATTTCCCAGACCCATGAGTTTTCATCCTGGGATCCTGCCAAGGATTGAACCTTTAACAGTTAGCTACACCACATCTTGGGACAACTGAAAGCTATTATGGACATGATGTGTAGCAAAAGCCCCTTTTCAGTATTTGAGCAGACAATGGACAAAAGTTTGCAGTTAATATTTAGTACCCAAGGACTGTGGTATCTCAAACTTATCTTTGGAATTTATAAGCAGCAGTGCATTGGACTTTAGAGGGAAAAAAAGGTTCAGAATTGTGGAGTTATTCATATTTCATTCACCATGAGAACATTTTTTTTGTCCTTTGATTGAATTGAAATTATGAAAATTGTAATTTAGTCAATTATGTATCAATTGTTAATAATCATACTGGAGTCATTAAAGTTTAAAACCTTTGCTATACTATATAACTTCATGAATAAAAAAGTCAGAGCTCACTCTGTTAGGAATTAGACATGATGCTTAGGAATCATTAGATTGAATGTAATTGAATAGGCAGATTTAGATTTTGGTATAGTTAAAGCAACTCAGGACATACCAGATCTATTTTAAGAGGCCATTTTATCTTGACTTATCTTTTCCTTTTGCAGGAGATGCTGTAGCCACAAATGCATATGCATTATCAAGCTTGATTATAAACTCTTGATGTAAAGTTGATTCAGAGGTGAGTGGCACTGAGCTATGCGCTATCCCCTAATGTTCTTTATTACAGAGGTTGAAAGTCATGGATGGGTAAAGTCTAGAAGGTGGAAGAAGACAACCTAAGATAAAAACAGCCATCTGCCTTGTAGCAGAAGCACAGGTATTTTTTAATTATATTAAGAAGGGGAAATTTATCAGTGTCCATAAAGATGGCAGCCCGCCATCTTGGCACAAGGACAGAGTTCAAAACTGACCTCAGCAAGTCATAAGACCTAAAGGCCAAAGGTATGGCTACTGTAGGGTGTTTGGCTATCTTATCCTAAATAACAACAGAACTGGTCTGAGGTGTGGATACTCCTAACTCTCAAGGCTAGGGAACAAGAAGTTGCATTTAAGGTGTGGTTACTGAACTCTTAGAGTAAGCAAGGAAGAAAAGTCTGTTCCATATATATGATACTGTGTTCCCCTTTCTGGTTTGGGTACAGTGGTGAAAAACAAACTCATGTCATTTCAGTATTGACTGATCTACCCTCCTGATTTTTTTTAAAGGAAAAATATGTTTATTAAAAAAGCAATCCTGATATTTGTAGTAAAGTGTATGGAACAGGGAATATTATGTAAGGTAAAACAAAATCCAAGTTGAGAAAGAAACATACTGAATATTTATCTCATATGTGGTGAATATTTGTATGTACATATGCACACACATGCACATGTTGTAGAATGAGGACCATGAGAAGGGAGGAAAAGGTCTTAAGTAGGGTTAAGGAAATGAAATATATTTGATACGAAAGCAGAAGACAGAAGAGGAGAATGAGGAAAAGAGAGGCAAACTACACAGGGAAGGACAGTGGTGAAGAGGTGTACAAGAAAATAAAATACAATGGCACACTATAGAAATGTCATAATGAAACTTAGTACTTTGAATAGTAACTTAAAAAGTTAATTTAAAAGAGATGTATGGGCATGTATCAGCCATACATATCAATGAAAATCAGAACTAATGTTTAAGGGGAGCTTGCATTGTGACTGGACAAATGACAGCTTTGTCACATTAACAGATAAGTGCAACTTCCTTCAGTCACTGAAAATAATTTTTTTGTAGTTGTTATTGTATTCTAACACCTAAGGATCTCAAGCCTTCAGAAGAGATATTATGTTTTATTTCGTTCTTTTACCACTAATTTCTTTTATAATGCTTGATACATAGAAAACATTTGTTGAACTAAAATACAAAGTTCTAAGTAGCTAATTTTGAATATGGGTGGGGGCAACAGTAACACAGAGATTATAAAATTAAAAGCAAACATCACTCTGTTGCTCAATATGGTGCCAGTTAGACACAAGGTTATTAAAACAATAATATCACTGTCCTATCAAAATGAAAAGAACAGTTTCAGGTCAGTGATAGTTTTTAGGGATGATTGGTGCAATTGTGTATAGACTTTGCTTCCCATTAGCAGAATAAAAAAAATCCAATTCTGTTCTTTTGCTTTGAGTAAAAGAAGCATACAGATCATAGAGCTACCTTTTCTGAAGAGTTCAATTAATTAAAAATAATACTAATAAACATTTACTTTCAGAACAAAGTTCTCCCAAAAAACTGTTATTAGTTGAAAGAAGCTGCTAAAACTCTTGGTAGGATTTGAGGATTTGATTCTGTAATTGAGTTTCTAGAAGATTCATCCTTTCACATTCCTGACATGACTATATAGCTCCTGGACATTTTTGCAACCCAGGCAAGGCACCAGTCAGGATAGCTTTCAAGAGTTCACAGCAAAAGATTGATTATCTCCTTTTCAAGCAAGGCCTGACATGACATGCTGATCCATTTTGAATAGCATACCACTAGAGATGCTTCACTTGAGACCCAAACAAACCCTCAAACCAAACAAAATCAAAAAAGGATTATCAAACTCCTCTGATGATTAAAATTCACACAGAACTTTAAGAAGACAGGCTAGCCATGATACCTGTTTCATTCACTTACTTCCTAGGATCGGTGGGCCATCATTTGATAACAATATACACAAATCATGTTTCCACAGACTAAATACTAAACAGTTTGCTATTTACAGCTTGCAGCTAACTTTTGTTTATTTATAAGAATGGGAAGTCTTTATTTATTTATTTGTTTGTTTATTTATTTATTTATTTTTACCTCATTCCCTGTTGACATGACAGCAACCACTGGAAATTTATTAACTTCAACTTCTGTGACACCCACAGTTGCAAGGAGACCAATCTCTGAAGGTCCCATATGGGTTCCTTTGGCCAAAACGCACTCCCCTCTTTTAATGTCATGGCCGATGGGTCTGAAAGTCAAAACAGAACCATAAGCATTATGGCTAAGATGAACATTTTCTCAACTCAGGGGGGAAACTTTAGTATCAGAGAAAAGAGACAATTGGGAAAAACAAGTTCAGAAATGAGTCAGGAGCCCAATAATGAAGAGATTCTAAAATTTTTAAGTTTTAAAAGTTATATCACACTACTGAAGACAGAATAGGAATTATGATAGCTAAACAATAATATGTTACATCTGAAAGTTACATTATATTTTTCTTTTTATTGTATTACAGCTAAAATTGCCAATTTCAAACTATCTTTGATAACAAGGCAAAACTTTGCATGAAAATATCTAGCGGCATTAACTGGTTCACAGCTGGTTAGCTCTGTGATAAGAAGAATGATGTTAATAAGGTTAGTTAGAGTGATTTCCACATAGACATCTTAGGTTGGTCCAGATCTGAGACCACTTTCCTTGGTATATGCACCTTAGCCTCCTGCCATAAAGCCTGGAGAAGCATAACTTTGCTACAAAGGGATGCTACAGGAAAATATGTCTTGATGGAATTTGAGTAAACATTTTCTAGTGTTACAAAAATAGTTCAAACTATTCATAATATTTATTGTAGGAGAAAAGCCTAATCTTTACATGCCAGGAACAGCAAATTACTATATTATTAAGGGTGGCTGAGGAGGGTGTTACTATTAACTGCTTGTATAAATACCCAATCAGCTCTATTCCAATTTCTGGACAATCTAGGGGTTGGGACTGAGTAATTTTGGATCAGCTAGAGGTAGAGTTAACTGTGGGTATATGTACATATAAGTTAATTTTTTTCTCATGTTGATTTTGATAATTTTATTCATCTTTACTATTTTCATTTAAATCGCACATGGAATGTAAAATTCAGAAAATTCATTTTGTTTCTTGTTAAAGCTTGAGAAAAAATGGCTAGTTGTCATAGCAGGTTTATAATAATCATGTTCTCCTGAGTGTATGATCATGTAGAAACACAGTAGGCTATACATTGTGTACATCTGAACTTACCTGATATCTTGACCTGGTCGAGCCTGCACCAGAATTCGCACTTCAAGTTCTTCAGTACCCTATAATTAGAACAGGTCATACAATTTCAAATAATAGTCCAATAGCATTTCCGATCAATAGGAATGAGCTTCTCAGATACTTTATCATCAGACAGGCCCAGAACAGAAGAGCAGACAGCCATTTTCTAACTCTCTGAAAAATTAGGTTTGGTGCCAATAAATAACTAAATATTTCCTCTATATTCTAATTGCAGGGAAGGACTTATAGCATGGAAGTAGATTTCTGTAATTTCATGGTAACCATCAATTGTACATTCATGGGCTGTAAATAATATTGAGATACTGTAGTTGGAGAATGTGTGTCTTCTGGATTTCAATGCTTTGCAGGCTTCCCTGATACTAATAATAAATCTCTGCTTGGGCAGTTTCAAGAGCAAGAATGTGGTCTTTATGCCAAAAGTTGAATTGTATACATAAGGGAAGATAATCTTCAGACCAAGAAAAGTATCTTGGCATGGTTGTATTTTACTATTTACTTAGTTGATATAATATTTTTTGCTGGGTGGTGGTGGCACATGCCTTTAATCCCAGCACTCAGGAGGCAGAGGCAGGTAGGTCTTGAGTTAGAGCACAGCTTAGTAGACAGAGGAAGTTGTACACAGTAGGGCTATTCAGAGGTACCCTATTGTAAACAAACAAACAACCTAAAACAAACCCACACGAACAAACCAGAAAGAAAAACTAATATATATTGTTTTTAATTTCTACTTCAGAATATAATTCCTCAAGAAAACTATTACAAAATTGTAACTTTCCTAGTTTTACTCATGACTAATAGTCTGTTTTAAAAGTAAATTATGTGTAGGAGTGCTTCGCCTACATGTATGTATATGCACCAGGTGGGCCTGGTGCTCATGCTCACAGCAGGGTGTTGGATGCCCTGAAACTGGAGTTATTGACAATTGTGAGCCACCATGTTTGTGCTGGGAATCAAACTTGGGTACAGGAAGTACTCTTACTTACTGAAATATTTCCAGCCTGTGCTGCTTATATTTCTGCCAACTTGACCTAAATTAGGGTCCTGGGAAGAGGAAAACTCCAACTGAGAAAAATGCCTCCACCTGTAGGTGAGTTTGTGAGGCATTTTCTTGATGAATAATTAATGTAGGAGGGTCCAGCTTACTGTGGGTGGTGCCACCACTGTACATGTGGAGCAAGCAGGCTGAGCAAGCCATGAGCACACAGCACTCTCAATGGCCTCTGTTTCAGTTCCTGTCTCCAAGTTCCTGCCTTGAGTGCTGCCCTGGGGCAGAAGGATTGTGATCTGTAAGCTTAAATAAACCCTTTCTTCTGAAAGCTGCTTCTGCATGGAGTTTATCACAGCAATAGAAACATAGCTAGGGCAAGCCCCAGCAGTCTGGTTTTAATAATTGCTATTAATTTCATTGAGAAAACGAAATATGCAGATCCTGTAAATGTCCTTTATTTGAGCCAAATGCAGAATGAAATGACACAAATTCAACATTTCCAGACTTCTATCTGATGGAACAGCTTTTCCCTGAACAGAAAGCCAATGTTAAAAGGTCATTTGGTTCAAGAACTTGCCCAGATATTCTCTGTTAAAGTTGTTTACATTAAATTCATATTCTAAGAACACCTTTATACTTTATCAAAAATTATTTTCAATGGCAAGAAGACATGTCAACTATTACTATCACTGTTCTTTTACCATGAATACATTTCTTTGTTTGCATGTGAAAATTCTCACGTTAAGAATGGTTCAAATTCTACTGTAACCATAGCATAAAAGTCCCCCATGTCAAGATTTTTATTCTTTAAGGCAGTTCATTTATTGGAAACCTACATATTACTATGTAAGATCCCCAAACCAAATTAACATCATTAACATCCCCCTCCCCAAGTCCCACGTTAATCTCAGGAACATTGAAGACACTGAGTATGATTTCTAACACTGCCACAGGAATCTGGTAGTGACTTACATCATCTGATTCCCTGATAAGTTCGGTATCTTCCACTTGTACTACTGCATCAGCACCGCAGGGGATTGGAGCACCTGTTGTAACCCGCATCACTTGTCCTGGCATTACTGTCTGAGTTGGCTGGAAGTACAAATATAAAAGGCAGTTGGTTATTTAGTTACTATTTAGTTAACTATTTTAGTTCTTATTTTTAAGAAACAAACAATGAAAGTTTTACAGTTTTTTGTTTTGTTTTTTGAGACAGGAATTCTCTGTGCAGCCTTGGCTGTTCTGGATCAAGTCTGGCCTTGAACTCACAGAGCAACTCCTGAGTGCTAGGATTAAAGGAGTGCACCATCACTGCCCAGTTGAAAACTATTAGAGTTTTTCTCAGGGCCATATCCATAATGCAGCTGCTCATAAAGAGCTGAATCACAACTAAGAGTCTGCAACTTGATTTAAGCTGACTTTATTTATACTTCAAAGTACTTTCTTGGAGCCCTGTTTTGAAGAACTGCCATTTATATTTGCTTTATTGCTTCTCATTCAAATAATATAAATTGTGTCAATGTAAAGTTATTTGAGAGACTGTCAGAAAAAATTCAAAGTCATAGGAGATTGTGAATGACAAATATGAAAACCCTTCATTTTAGTAAATTGCTGAAGTTCTGTTTGACAAATGTGGTACTTCATTAAGTAAAACTTTTGGTCAAATCAAGGTGATTAGGAAAGCCATTTTAATTATTTCACTTGAAAAATTTTCTAAAACACAGTGTTTCACTTATTGGTTAATTAAAGTCTAAAATGTAGAATTTTAACTACTTAAAATGTAGACTTTAACTACTTAAAAACATCCCAAACATTCCAGTGCTTATAATAATCTGGATTAGACATTGTTTTTAAATTCAAAACAGAAATTTTAATGTCTGAAGTTTACTAATTTTAAAATTACATCTACTTATTTTTCAAATGCATGTCCATCTACACATGTGTAGAAATAAGAGGACAACTTGTGAAGCTGATTTTATTTTCTAAATATTTGTACATATGATGTGTGCAGGATAGACTTGTCTGGGAAATCTTCCAGATGGAGAAAGTATGTCTCTGCCTGATCCATCTGATAGGTTGAATAGGCTTCAAGAGAGTCACCGCTCACAGGCCTTGATTTAGGGCAGAATATTAGAATGCATCACATCATCCTTAAAAGAAAGTCCTTAGACAATAGTAAAAACTGTTTAAGAATATTTTAGATTTATTGATTTCATGTATGAGTGCTTTGCATGTATTATGTATGTATGCATATATGTATGTATGTATGTTCACCATGATCAGAGCTGTTGTCCCCAAAGGTTAGAAGAGGGCATTTAATGCCTTAGAATTAGAAATATAGTTGGTTGTAAGCCTCTGTGGATGCAGAGAACTGAGTCTGAGTCCTCTGTAAGAGTAGCAAGTACTCGCTCTTGCTGGCGTGACTCGGACAGGAGAGGATTGGGTTGAATTTTCTGGTGTTCATCTGTCTAGGTTGTAAGTTATTTCTCCCTGAATAAACATCTATTCGGTCTAAAAAAAAAAAAAAAAAAAAAAAGAGTAGCAAGTACTCTTTATTGCTGAGCCATCTGTAGTTCCATGTCATGTACTTCTTAACATGCACACACATGCTCAAGTACACACACACCCACACCCACCCACCCACCCACCCACACACACACACACACACCATGCATGTGCAAACCTTAGACAAAGGTTAAGGAAAATTATCCCACTACCAGAAGTATAACGTACTTTATAATAATATCAGAAAGAAGTTATAGTAAGAACATGTCTAAATGTTCTGTATTAGACTGTATAGTAAGAAAAACCTTAAAAAGTCTATATTATCACAAAAATATTACAAAGTAGTTAATATTCTTTGAACTCTTAAGTTCACTCTAGATGAAATATTAATTATATATTCTAGAATTTAAGTTCTACCAAGGTAAAAATATATTTATGTGGTTTGCTTCTGCAGAACACACCATTGTTTTGTAAGCTCTACTCTGGCCCAGAAGGTTGACTTCTATGAATTATTTTAATAAGGTTCCCATGACTTTGGCCTCTGGATAAGGTATAGCCAGTGGAATTAGCCCACAAGAGATTAGACAGTAGGAGGGGAAGAGAAGCAAATTCCCTTTGATCTTATGGCAGGTTGGTGGTGATTAGGACATCTTTACTAACTGAAGTCCACATCTCCTTTGGGGAGCTTGTATCACAGCTATGAATCTCTCCAAGTTGAGGTACAAATGTCTCCTTTTTCTCCTTTCGACCTAGAGGTAGTAATGAAGAGATTCATAGCTAAGACACAGGATCTCTAAAGGACAATACAGGTAATCTGAAGAAAAATCTGCTTCCTTGGACTAATTTGACTTCATACCATCAAGCCTTAAACATGTAAGTTTCATAATTCCTTTTATGCTCCTAGTTGTCTGGTTTAGTTAGAACTAACAAATAGAGTGTAAGAGGTTTAGAGACCCTTAATATCTGCTATGTTGTAGCTAATGAAAACCATCTGTGAGTCTCTGATGTCTTTGTTGTTGTTCTTTTAAGGCAGAATATATATATAGTTTTGTCTGGTCTGGAATTTATTATGCTGTACAGGTTGACCTTGAACTTACAGTGATTCTCCTACATGCTGGAATTATAGGCATAAACTGCCAGGCCAGGCACCTCTGGATTTTTGACCTATACTGCTCTCTGCCTAGAATGTTCCAATGTTATTCTCCTAAGAATCTACTTTTGAAATGTTCAGTTTTCTTTTGTACCCCAGGGTGTTTGACTGATACCATTAGTTTAATAATTAATATACTGTATACTATTTAGTTGCTTATAATGCCTCCTCTCCTGACTCCTTAAGAGAAAAAATTATGTTTTAATGTAACTTATATGCCAGAATGTAGCATCTGCTAATTATGTCAGTATGCTGGATAAAGGAATGCTGAGTAGACTCAATTGAAGATCAGTTGAATATTTCTTGAACACTCATTTTCTGGCTTTACTATAAAAATCGATGTTTTGTATGTTTATATCTAATAGAAATATGTGCTAAGTGATCAAATAAAGTAAAAAAAAAAAAAAAAAAGAGTCAAAGGGAGATGGCTCATTAGGTAAAGTGCTTAATGTGCAAGTGTGAGGACCTGAGTTTGAATTCACAGAACCCATCAAAAAGCAAACACAGTAGTATGTATGTACTTGTAATCCCAGTGCTCTATGGTGAGATGGGAAGTGAATACAAGAGAATTCTCAGAGGTTCAAAGGCTAGCTATCCGTGCACACATAACAGTGAGAAACAAAGAGACTGTCTGAAACAATGTGAAAATAAAATGGCAATAGATAATTTTTAAAAAGGTGTCAGTTTTGGTAAAAAACTATTGCCATGTCTTCTTTTCTTTCTTGGCTTATCATGGACTTTATAAATACTTAAAATAGACCGGGTTAAGGTGCAGAAGGATGATGCCAACAGTAACCACCCTGGCTTCCTTATTTAAACATCCAAACATTAAGGTACATTTAGTTCTAGTCATAAAATCAAAATTTGTTGGAAGAAGAATCACTCAATCATAGGACTAGAGAATGCCTTAAGGTCAGCCTGTGGAGGATATAACAAAATTATTCATTATACCACATACATGTAAATTCTTTATTATTATTATTATTATTATTATTATTATTATTATTATTATTATTATTATTTTGGCTGTGGTTTGCATAGGATCTTTCTTTTATCCCTTTGACAGTCTTCTAACTAATCCTTCTTTAAGACTTCTACAGTGCTGATATTGGAAACTTAGAATTGGATGCCCAAAGTCTGTGAAGCATAAATCTGCGGTGTCTTTCAGGCTTACGAATCTCACCTGTTCACCAGCTTGGGATTCCCCAATGATGAAACGATCTCCTGGACCATCAGCAGCTGTGAGATGGAACAGAGCCAAGAATAAATATCAGCATGGACTTAAAGCAAGGAGCAAGAATCTAGTATACTGATATTCTAAGACTTCATTAAATCATGTTCAGGAAAGGAGAATGTATTTCTGATTTCCTAATGTAGACGACAGCCTTTTTACTACTGGTTTGATCTTTGGTATCCAATAGATTCCAAGCATCAGCAGAAGTGGATCTATTTGTGCCCTTTCTTGCCATCAGTGGAGATGGTCTTCATGTGATGCCATCCTTTCCATACTTGTGCTTTCAAACATGAGGCTCATTCGCCTTATCCTTTCAAATGACATGATCTTACCCATGTTCTTAGTCATAAGTGAACATTCATGGATACAGGAACACATCAATTTGCATATTCAAACGTCTCCATTTTTTGTAACCATTTTTTACTTAAATAAAATCAGAAAAATTAATAGATTAGAAATAATGCTAATTATGAGCTGAAATAAATAAGCTTTACTGCATCATAGTTTCCACTTAGTATTTTCAGTGCTGGAACTAGGGACTTGCCATGCCAGGCAAGTGCTCTAATACTGAGTGACACTCCCATTTCTGGTTACTTATTTTTACTTTTAGGAACGAAGAGTATTTATTTAATTTTAATTTTTTTTTTTTTTTTTTTTGAGGCAGGCCCTAGATGGGTGGGGATGTGCACGCCTTTAGTTCTAGCACTCAGGGCAGGCAGATCTATGGATTCAAGGTCAGCCTGGCCTATAGAGTGAGTTCCAGGACAGCTGGGGCTACACTGAGAAACCCTGTCTCGAAAATCCAAAATGAACCAATCACCCAACCAACCAAACAACTTGTCTTGTTTAGTCTCATCCATTCCTTTGTCAGTGCCTGACATATAGTAAGGTAATGAATGGGGAAAAAATTCTTAAGCAATGCCATCTTTTCTTGATATATTATTTGGGTTTCAGGCAATGCAAGGCTTATCTAATGAGTTTTATGACCACTGCTGTTACTTCCATGCCAATGATATATATAGCAAGGGGTTTTGAGGCCTATGTATGGAAAAAGAGAACATATTATATATGAATATTCAATTATATTTGTAATAGCAGTGACAACATTTTCTATTTTAAAGGAAAAATATAGACTCATTTTTTTTTTTCCCTTTCTTCTCTCCATTTTTCCCGTCCTTTATAAGAGCTCACTCTGTAGTACAAGCTGGCCTGTAATTCAGCATGTAGTGTGGTGATATCTTGCTTGTACAAACAAAGCCTTCTCAGGGTCAGAGAATGAAGTTTGCTAGCTAACCACAGAGGTCTGGAGGTCTGTACAGACAGACAGGAAGTGAGAAGGAAATAGGAGATAAACAGGGAAAAACAGGAACTTGCTCTCTTGTCTGTTCAAATGCAAAAGTGGTAAGATATGGCCTTTTTATTATTCTAGTTTTCATTTTTATTTTTTGATATTTTGATACAGGGCTTCTCTGTATGTCTTTGGTTGCCCTTGAACTCATTCTGTTGACTAGGCTGGCCTTGAACTCACAGAGGTCCGTCTGCCTCTGCTTCTCGAGTCCTGGGATTAAAAGCATGTGCGTCCCTATGCCCAGCTATTCTATTTCTTCTTAAAGGACTTTCTCTATCCTTTTTCTTTTCTCTCCTCTGAACCTGTCTTTTTAGAAACTGTATATTTCTATCCTTTTCTGACCACATGAGTCTTTAATCTGCTCAGATTAAATCGGAGGTTTTGGTTGCTGGCTGCACCCACTGAGGCTTTCCAAATTGGCGGGGGTATATTTACCACCATCTCTGGGAGCTGTGCTCACTGCCTCAACTCTGGTCTATGCTACCATCAAGCAGCTTGTCGTACATTGCCATAAACCACTTTTGTCTGTATGAGTGAAAGCTAAATCAGCCATGCATCATGCTGTATTGCAATGGGAATTCTCCATGCTGTGTTCAAGCCTGTGCTCTGCACTGTGGCCTGCATGAGACTGAGACTAGGAAGCTCACTGGAAATTCTTGCCAAACATTTGGGTGCCAGTTGTAGGCAGAGGTTTTTGTCTTGCTGAGTCCCACAGCCAGTCAGTCCCAAATAAACACACAAAGGCTTATATTAATAAACTGTTTGGCCAATGGCTCAGGCTTCTTATTGGCCAGCTCTCTCTTAATTATTAACCCATTTCTTTTAATATTTTGTGTATCTCCACATGGTCTTGGAGTACTGGTGATGCCTGGACCTCTCATTCCCTAGGCAGCTCCCTCATGACTCACCCTCTGTCTTACTCTTCCCAGAATTCTCCTAATCTGGTAGCCCCGTGTATACTTCCTGCCTGGCCACATCCTGCTTGTCCATTGGCCAAAACAGCTTTACACATCAACCAATAATAGAAACATATATTCAGAGAATACAGAAGGATATCCCCCTTCATCTCCTCTTTTCTGTTTAATTATAAAGGGAAACTTCAACTTTAATATAGTAAAATTATATATAACAAAACAGTTATCAAGCAAGAAGTACAGTTAACAATATTTAGTCCACTACCATTTGGCAAAACTTAAAATATCCGGTCTTTGTGAGTTTAAAGTTTTATATGTAACTTTATCTTTTATCATAACTAAGGAAAACCATAGCCATAACTATTTCTCTTCTCTTCAACTCCATCAAAGACCCAAGAAGGATACTATATAAACTCTAAAATTGACAGAGACATCTCATTGCCTAGATAGTCACCCAAAAAGCTAGCTCAGTCAGTAAAGCATGAGACTCTTAATCTCAGGGTCGTGGGTTCAGGCCCCACATTGGGCACCAAAATGTAAATGGTGTTTTTGATTGGTTTAAGTAATAAAAACCCAGAGTCAGACATAGAGGAAAATGCTGAGAGATCAGAGAGGAGTAAGCCATGGCCACACCTTACCTCCTTAGCATCTCAACAGACAACAGAGCAAGTTCCTGTTTCTTCCTGCTTCCAACCAGTTATCTCACTTCCTGTCTGTCTGTACAGACCTCCAGATCTCAATGGTTAGCTAGTGGCAAGCTCCAATCTCTGACCTTCAGATAGGCTTTATTTGTACAAGTAAGATACCACCACAATGTATCCCATAGTCCTTGAGCTTGCAATGGTCCTATTTCCACCTTCAGAGTGCTAGGACTACAATCATGTATTATCATGCTTATTTATTTCTTTAAGTACAAGGTAGTATTTTTTTTTCTAAAGACTTACACAAAATATTGTTCATGAGTTACTTTCTTCTACAGTTGACATGGTTACTTTGATGTAGAGATGAACAAAAATTAACATTGGATCCCTTTTATTAGTACATGTATCTTGTCCATTATAAATATTATCTCAGTGAATAAATTCTTGTACTTTTGGGAAATCTATGATATTAAATTAGAAAAGTTTTCCTGAAATGATATTTTCATAATGACACTTTCATAAATCCATTAAAAAAAACCTTTTAACACCAGGAAATTTGAATGCAAATGGATGGAACTAGAAAAGAGTCTTCCTGAGTAATGTAACACAGCCAGAGAAAGACAAACTAGGAATGTACTCACTCATAGATGGATATTAGCTATAAAATAATGGATAACCATGCTGCAATCCACAGATCCAGAGCAGTTAGGCAACAAGCCTAACAGGGTTAATGGGGGCACCTGGATCTCCCTGAGAAGGGGAAATAGAAGAGATTTTGTGAGTGGACTGAGAGCATGTGAGGATGGGAACTGGAGGGATGGGGTTGGAGAGTAGATGGAAGAGGAAAAGAACTGAAAGGAAGAAACCTGGCTGAAGGGAATCTCCAAGGATGACCCAAGCTAGGAATCTTAATTCCTAGCAATAGTGGATATCTAGCCTGCTCTGGACATCTCCTGTGACCAGGCAAGACTTCAAGTGGAGGGAGTGCGAAACCAACCCAGTCATATAACCTTTGACCTACCTACAAGATATGCTGGGGTAAGGGTGGCCTAGAAATTGAAGGAGTGGCCAACCAATGACAGGTCCAGCCTGACACTGCCACCCCTGACACTGCCTGGAGCACCAGGTTCCACAGTCTGGATGACCCAGAAACCTAGGATAGAACTAAACATGACTGGAGGAAAAAAGTCAGTGTAATGATGCTTAATGTTATTCTACGATACACGTAGATTGTTGCCTAGCCTAATTGCCATCAGAGAGGCAACTGATGGAAACAGACGCAGACCCACAGCCAAACATTAGGTGGAGCTCGGGAAATCCTTTATAATAGGGAGGAAGGATTGTAGGAACCAGAGGGGTCAAGGACACCACAAGAAAACTCACAGAATCAACTAACCTGGGCTCATAAGAGCTCACATAGACTGAACCGACAACCTGGGAGTCTGAATGGGACTGACCTAAGCACTCTGCATATATATTATAGTTGTGTAGTTTGGCCCTCTTGCGGGACTCCTAACAGTGGGAACAGGGGCTGTCTCCAACTCTTTTATGAGACCTTATTCCTCATACTTGCCCAGCCTTAATACATGGGCAGGTTCTTGAATGACCACCCCCCCAGGAGGAGCCTGTCCTGGAACCTGATCTGTAGACCAGGCTGGCTTCTAACTCACAGAGATCCTTCTGCCTCTGCTTCCCAATGCGCTGGCATTAAAGGCACACAGCACCAATGTCTGGCCTAGGTTCTTAAGTCTTATTGCAATTTGATATACTATGTTTTGTTGATAATCATGCATGGGAGACCTGCCCTTCAGAACTGAGGAATATATTGGGGGGTTTAGGAATAGAAGGGGGGTAAAGGGGAGGAACTGGGAGGAGAAACTGACAGGGCTGCAAAATAAATAAAAACAAACAAACAAACAAATAAATAAATGAATAAAATAATATGAATACCTAAACCCCTTTTAAACAATTTAAAAAACAAGCAAAAATCATTACTTCAAGAATTATCAACATTTTACTAATATTGTTTAATATATTAAACAACTTATTTTTACAGTATTTTAAAGGAAATTACTTTTTATTGAAAAAATTGATGCTAGATG